GCAATGAGAAGCCCATGCACTGCAACGAAGAGTAGCCCTCGCTCGCCACAACTAGAGAAAGCCCGCGCGCAGCAACGAAGACCCAACCCAGCCCAAAAAAAAAAAAAAAACTATGTGGGACTGTATTTCTAGAGGGCCCCAGAACTACAAGTTTGCAGCCTCAGCTAGCTTCATCTAATTACTAGTTCTGATTCTCTATTTGAAGATTTTCAATAATTCTCATGGTTCATACTTTCAGAATTATTTAGGGCTAGTTATTTCTCCACCTAAATATAAATTTAGGTTCAAGAATTTTTTACTTTCCTTGGTTTTCAGCTAAATGCCTGTGGAATAAAGTAAGGAAGGCAGAGGGGGAAACTGCTTTTAAAAGAGTAGGATTTAGGGACTTCCCTGGTGGTACAGTGGTTAAGAAGCCGCCTGCCAATGCAGGGGACATGGGTTTGAGCCCTGGTCCGGGAAGATCCCACATGCCGCAGAGCAACTAAGCCCATGCGCCACAACTACTGAGCCTGCACTCTAGAGCCCACAAGCCACAACTACTGAGCCTGCACTCTAGAGCCGGCGAGCCACAACTACTGAAGCCCGTGCGCCTAGAGCCTGTGTTCCACAACAAGAGAGGCCATCGCAATGAGAAGCCTGCACACCGTAAGGAAGAGAAAGCTCCCGCTCCCCACAACTACAGAAAAGACATAAAACAAATAAATTTATTTAAAAAAAAAAAAAAAAAGAGTAGCATTTAATCTCGTGATTGAGGTCAGGCATGATTTCCTCATCATTTCAATTTCCTGGGCTCAATTTCTGCCCACTTATATAGTAATGGAATCACAAAAAGAAGAAAACTAGTTAAACTTATTCTTTATAAATATTTCCATCAGGGGCTTCCCTGGTGGCGCAGTGGTTGAGAATCTGCCTGCTAATGCAGGGGACACGGGTTCGAGCCCTGGTCTGGGAGGATCCTACATGCCGCGGAGCAACTAGGCCCATTAGCTACAACTACTGAGCCTGCGTGTCTGGAGCCTGTGCTCCGCAACAAGAGAGGCCGTGATAGTGAGAGGCCTGTGCACCGCGATGAAGAGTGGCCTCCGCTTGCCACAACTAGAGAAAGCCCTCGCACAGAAACGAAGACCCAACACAGCAAAAATAATAATTAATTAATTTTAATAAACTCCTACCCCCAACATCAAAAAAAAATTTCCATCAGGCAGGACAATCACATACTTTGCTAAACAGCTTTGGCTGGGTCTGTAACTAACCAACAACATCCCTTTTTCAACTACTAGTTGGATCTACCAAGTATGTAAGCAAGAGAGCGCTCACTTTACGTAGGAGTTGAGGAGCATCACTAGGTAAAACCATTACTTCATAGCCCGCCGACAGATTTCAAGTCTAAGATAGCAGTTTCTCAAAGTGTTGTGGGAGCCCTCCAATTTTAGAATCATTTGAAATGCACATTGCTGAATCCCCCCCAATTAATTAAACATTCATAATCTGCACTCCAACTTAGGCCAAAATCATACTCATGCATACTGAAATTTGAGAAACACTACCCTAATATGCTGTGTTAGAGAGGGTTTTATACTGTTACAATGTTACTAATAACTGAACTGACAGTCATTCAGAGGGCAACCTGGCCGTATCACAGGTTACAAATACTGCGGCAATCCGTGTTATACACATTCCTCTCCTAACCAGCCCCACCCTCTATCTCGCCAGGGCGGGGCACGGATTACTTCCTTGTAAAAAGATATCCTTATTCACACTCCCCCTTCCGTCACCTTTCCCACTCTACTCCGCTCTTTGCTTTTTGCCCTCTGCTCTTTGCCCTCCCTTTTCTCTGCCAGACTCTCTGGCAGAGATTAACCCAACCTCCAATCAGCCCCACACCACCCGGTGCCAGGGCTTCTCGTTCGCCTCAGGCCTCAGAATCTACCGAGCCAGCATCCGCTACCAGCTCCCTTCCGCTGTTTGAGGACCTCCGCCTTCCTCAACCCTCCAGTTACCCTTTTCCACTTCCAATCTTCTCTCAGCTTTGGCTATGAGGCCTGGAGGGTACTCACCATTCCGACGGTTGCTACTGTCACTGCTCTGGTTGCTAGGGCCCGCCGGGATCAGTGCGCATGCGCACCTCTTGGAGCTCTCCTTGGATTGCTATCCCGGCAGGAGTCTTTTCTCTCCGCCCTCAGTGTGGCGCAAGCAGGGCATTGTGGGACCGCGCCGCGTACGCCGGGGTCCTCCCGCTCCACGGTTGCTAACTACCCGGGGACTGCAAGCGCAGCAACTGGTGGCGCAGAGGGGTCGAGAGCATAACCTCGCGGAGTGGTTGGGCGATGTTTTTTTCCCTTGTGAAAGTAATTTCAGCTAATCTTGAGTGACGTACCGGCTTAAAATTTAAAACTTTGAAACCTCCCTGTAACAACTGCCACACCCCATAAAGGAACTTTAAAAATTCCCTTCCTTTGCAGATTGCCTTTCCCGTTCTCTTGACTCCCTGCTATAATTTATCTAGTTGTCCGACTGAGGATATCCAGACACGGCTGCATTTCTTCAGTTAGCTTCTCCCAACCCCTTCAGGCAGCCTGAGGCGGCTGAAGCATGAAATGCTGGTTTTACATAACCGAGGTGTCTTTTTATCCCCAGCTATCAAATTAGGCAAAAACTAAAAATGTCCAGAGTTGCTAGGGGTATGGAGAAGTGGGGACGCATACATACACTGCTGTTTGTAATTGATACAGCCTTTCCGCAGGCTGTTGGCAATTTTAAAGCTTTAAAAACTTGCACCTCTGTGACCCAGCAGTTCCACTTCTAGGACTTGATCCTGAAGAAATAATAAGGCATATGCACAGAGATATATGTTCAAAGTTTTAACAGCGAAAAGAAAACCCAAATGTCAACAACAGAGAATTGGCATTATTAAGGATATTATGAGGGGGTTCCCTGGTGGTGCAGTGGTTAAGAATCCTCCTGCCAATGCAGGGGACACAGGTTCAAGCCCTGGTCTGGGAAGATCCCACATGCCGCGGAACAACTAAGCCCATGAACCACAACTACTGAGCCTGAGCTCTAGAGCCCGCGAGCCACAACTACTGAGCCCATGCGCCTAGAGCCCGTGCTCCGCAACGAGAAGCCACCACAATGAGAAGCCCACGCACCTCAACAGAGTAGCCCCCACTCGCTGCAACTAGAGAGAGCACACATGCAGCAACCAAGACCCAACGCAGCCAGAAATAAACAAATTTATAAAAAATAAGTATATAAAAGTTACATGCAATTTAAAATAAAAAAGATATTAGGAGGTTTTAATGTTTGTTATGGACTGAATTGTGTCCCCTCAAAATTCATATGTTGAAGCCCTAAGCCCCAGTGTGACTGTATTTGGAGACAGGGCCTTCAAGGAGGTAATTAAGGTTAAATGAGGCCATAAGAGTGGGGCCCTAACCCAATGGGACTTGTGTCCTATAGGAACAGACACCAGGACTGGTGTGCAGAAAGGAAAGGCCATGTGAGGACACAGTGAGAAAGTGGTCATCTGCAAGCCAAGAACAGAGGCCTCACCAAAAACCAACCCTGTCTGCTCCTTGATCTTGGATTTCCAGCCTCCAGAACTGTGAGAAAACAAACTTCTGTTAAGGACCCAGTCTATGGTATTTTATTACTTGCAACCTGAGCCGACTAATACAAGGTTCATTTTGCTTGTCTGTTTTCTGATTGTTCTATAATGAGACTGTTTTAAATTTTGAAATAAGAAATAAATTTCACTTTGAAAAAGGTAATTTAATCAATTCCTAAAAATAGGAAAAAGTAAAATTTTTACTGAAGAAAAAAATGTATATTCATAACATATCCAACTTTTGTTCTTGTAGGTTTCTTTCATTTTTTTTTCAGATCTCCACATCTCCACAGCTCTGCAAACTAGGATTCTTCTTCACCTGCTACAGTCTCTACCAGTTTTGTTGATGTGACTGTAATGGGCATCTAATCCTTAAACATATCTCATAACCCAGCAGGCAGTTCTTTTACTCAAAACTATGGACTATACCATAAGGAGTTGGTGTTAATAATGAAATATCATTAATGAATCAATTTTATCTTCATGCTTACTCAGAACATTACTTCTACTTCCTTCTTGTCATTGCAGTGGTAAACTTTGACGATAAATATGTTTTATTTAACACCATATAAACTATTTACCACTATATAAACAGAAATCTGCTTGTCTCTGCAAATGAACTCACAATATCTTGATACATTTCCCATCAAGTATATTTTGAGTTTCAAATACTCAAAGGTTAAAAACAGTCACACAAGAAAAAAGAATTATGTAACTGGGATCCTTCCTTTGTTTTTTTAAATCCTGCAAAATGACAAAATAGATTCAAAAAGCTATTCACCAGAGAATATAGCTTTGGGTCCACTTGCTCTTGTTGCAGGCCTGGGTAAAAGAAAGTTGAGAGAAAGGTTAAAAATCTTATTGAAACCATTTCCCCAAATTCAGAAAATCTCTGGAGAAAAGGGACCCCTCCTCTACTGTTGGTGGGAATGTAAATTGGTGCAGCCGCTATGGAGAACAGTACGGAGGTTCCTAAAGAAACCAAAAATAGAGTTACTATATGGTCTTGCAATCCCACTCCTGGGCATATATCTGGAAAAGACAAAAGCTCTAAATCAAAAAGATACATGCACCCCAATGTTCATAGTAGCAGTATTTACAATAACCAAGACATGGAAGCAACGTAAATGTCCATTGCCAGATGAATGGATAAAGATGTGATACATACATACAATGGAATATTACTCAGCCATAAAAAGAATGAAATAGTGCCATTTTCAGCAACATGGATGGATGTAGAGATTATTTATTGTACTAAATGAAGTAAGTCAAAGACAGATATCATATAATATCACATATGTGGATTCTAAAAAAAGATACATATGAACTTATTTACAAAACAAATAGACTCACAGATGTAGAAAACAAACTTATGTTCACCAAAGGAGAAAGGGGGAGAGGTATAAATTAGGAGCATGGGATTAACATATACACACTACTGTATATAAAACAGAACCCTAATGAGTTCATTTTATTTTACTAAGAATGTTTAAATTGAATTATAAGTGAAATATAATATTAGCTTCAGGTATATAACACAGTGATTTGATATTTTTATATATTATGAAATGATCACCATACAGAGTTATTACAATATTATTGACTACTTTCCCTATGCTGTACATTACATCCGCATGACTTGTTTATTTTATAACTGAAAGTTTGTACCTCTTAATCTGCTTCCCTCATTTCACCTGTCCCCTCTCCCCTCTGGCAACTACCAGTTTGTTCTCTGTATCTATGAGCCTGTTTCTGTCTTTTTTTTTTCTTCCAGTTTTAGTGAGATATAATTGACATACAGCACTGTATAAGTTTAAGGTTTACAACATAATGGTTTGACTTACATACGTCATGAAATGATTATCACAATAAGTTTAGTGAACATCTATCATCTCATATAGATACAAAATTAAAGAAAAAAAATTTTTCCTGTAATGAAAACTCTTAGGATTTACTCTCTTAACAACTTTCATATATAACATTCAGCAGTGTTCATTATATTTATCATGTTGTACATTACATCCCTAATATTTACTTATCTTACAACTGCAAGTTTGTACCTACTGACCACCTTCATCCAGTTCTCTTCCACCCCACTCCCTGCCTCTGGCAACTAAAAATTTGATCTCTTTTTCTATGAGTTTGTTTGTTTTTGAAGTATATTTTACTTACAACACTATGTTAGTTCCTGTTACACATCATACTGATTCAATATTTCCATACATTTCAAAATGATCATCACGATAAGTCTAGTTATGATCTGTCATCATACAAAGGTGTAATTATTGACTATATTCCCCACACTGTACATTTCACAACTGTAACTCATTTATTTTGCAACTGGAAGTTTTTACCTTTTAATCTTCCTCACCTATTTCTCTCCTACCCCAACACCTCTTCCTTTTGGCAACCACCCATTTGTTCTCTGTATCTATGACTGTGTTTCTGTTTTGTTATGTTTGTTCATTTGTTTTGTTTTTTAGATTCCATGTATAAGTGAAATCACACAGTATTTGTCTTTCTCTGATTTATTTCATTTAGCATAATACCCTCTAGGTCCATCCATGTCGTTAAAAATGGTAATTTCATTCTTTTTTTAAAAAAATATTTATTTATTTATTTGACTGCGCCAGGTCTTAGTTGCATCACGTGGGATCTTTGCCGCATGTGGGATCTTTGTTGTGGCCTGTGGGATCTTTAGTTGTGGCATGTGGGATCTTTTAGCTGCAGCACGTGGACCCTTAGTTGCGGTATGCAGGATCTAGGTCCCTGACCAGGGATCAAACCTGGGCTTCCTGCATTGGGAGCATGGAGTCTTAACCACTAGACCACCAGGGAAGTCCCGCAATTTCATTCTTTTTTATAGTTAATATTCCACTGTATATTTATACCACATTTTCTTTATCCATTCATCTATTGATGGGCAGTTACATCACTTCCGCATCTTGTCTATTGTAAACAGTGTTGCAGTGAACATAGTTGTCCATATATTTTTTCAAATTAGTGTTTTTATTTTCTTCAGAAAAATATATAGAAGTGAAGTTACTGTATCTATGGTAGTTCTATTTCAGTTTTTTAAGGAACCTCTATACTGTTTTCCATAGCGGCTGTACTAATTTACATTCCCACCAAAAGAGCATGAGGGTTCCCTTTTCTCCACATTCTCGACAACACTTATTGTTTCTTATCTTTTTGATGACAGCCATTCCGACAGGTGTGAGATGGTTTTGATTTGCCTAATGAGTTCATTTTAAACACATTTCTCTCCACCATTCCACTCATCTTTGGGTGACTTTGCACAAATGTAGCTGCCTCCTCAAAGTAATCTAAATTTAAATCTTTCATGATTGGAGGTAGATCTTCATAACCAAAACACGGCAAATCCTTGACAACCAGGAGACTCGCTTAAGATTCATTTAACCCTCCATCACCAACCATGTCAATCAAACCAGGAAAAGGACCATCTCCTATAAACCAGGAAAGGGGAT